GGTTGTTGGTTACCCAGTGTGTATATGAAATGTAATTTAAAGAAGTAACAAGAGTTCGACTGTGGAATTCCTGTGGAAATAATTCCAAAAGCAAACCATTCGCTTTCTTCAACAGCAATTACTGAAAAGTATAGGAGTGTGACAAATTTGTCCGGCTTTATTGTGCTATGGGAAAATTAGGCATTTAGTTACCTCGAAGCGCCATTGGCCAAAGCAGTTCAAACTCATTGTGGCGAAGCCTCTCGTACGCGCTCACTAAGGTCGTGTGCACACGAACACCCAGGCACCTCAGCATTCCCACTAGTTTGACAAGCGCGGTAATGGGTTCTGTGCATGGTCACATGTACAGCTGCGTACAGTTGGTAACGTAGGAGCTGATTTTCGTGAAACAGAGCACTTTAACTTAAAAAATGCCTTGAAGTTGTTACTCTACACGCAATACTCCTTATGTAGATAGAATTTCAATATGACCGCGTGAGGACGAAAAGAAGAGTGCTTAATCTAGAAGATATTAGCAATACAGAAGAACAGTGAGTGTTTATGCCGAAGAAGGAGAATCGGAAGCTTCTCAAGGAAGAACAATCATGAAAGTGGCAAACTTTTGGCGCCGAGCGGTATCTTCAAAAATCATTTGCGGACAACAATTCGTTCGAGAAGGCTATGAAAAAGACGTTCCACATTTAAAGTACCCTAGTCCCAATGCTAATCAACACTAGCAATGACCGAGATAAACAACATACCAAATGTCGAAGCCTAGAAGAAGAAGAAGAAGAAGAAGAGGGCGTGAAAAGACCTAGGATTGTTTAGTCTTCTATGAAAAGCTACGAAAACTTGGTAAAATCATAAGAAAATCTTATCAGCATGGGTTTCATTAAGCTTCCCTAAGAGGCACAGCAACGCTTCAGACGGAAATTTGACTGGACATATGTCAGTTACGCAATTAGACACTGGCTACAAAGCCCAACTGCAGTCGGCGCACAAGATTCCACCACAAACATCCTGACCCCAAGCCAGTTGCGCTGCTACCGGACAAACTCGCCAGAACAATGCCAACCGCATATCGGACCTTGGAAAACAAGCTGCGAGAGGCCTTAGACGGGTGATAAGCTGGTCAATTACGTTAAAATCACAAAGTGAATGTCACGAGTCTTGGAGAATCCCTGAATCCCGCGAGCATTGAAAAGGTACATCCGGCAAACTCAGGCAACTGATCGAAACAACAAAACAGCTAAATAGTGCAAAGACACAAGTTCGAAGTCGAAAAAAATACTAAGTATTACTAGAGCAGCATGAAATCATTGATTTCTCATATTCAACACACTCAGACAACACATGGAGGACATCCAATAATGGAGGCTTAGGTTGGCGGTACGTGCTTTTAGTCCGCAAGCGACTTAAGATCCTTGCGAAGTTGGTAATCACAACGGTAAAGTTTGCTGGACTGGGATTGCTAAGTCTAATCCCTGCAAGTTAGATACTCAGCTAACAATTGCATTCTCGGTAACAGTAGATGGACAATTAAGTGAACAGCGTCAAAAACATGCGAGAGGCGCTGTATTTGTCCACAGAACATGATTGGGTCCTTTCCAAGAGTCAAACCAATTGCTAGATCATTTTTCCCGCAAAAAAAAACTAGACTCAAACAATAGTTTCTGTGGAAAAAGAAACTCACGGGGCATTCCTGAGTAGTTTTGCTGCTGTGTACGCTGATTAAAATGCTGTCGCTGGTGCGAATATTGCAGGTGCGAGTTCTGGTTTAGTGCTGCGCACTCGTGATACTCAATTGGTTGGGATTGATCGATCCAATCGATGTCGACAGGAGCCAAGTGGGCACTTGAATAGGAGATTCGTGCTCCCGGGGTGACATGCCCTACTGTGGAGCAGGGATAAATCTGTTGCCTGCCCTCACAGCATAGCGCTTTCGGTGGGTCAACAAACACGTAGGGATCCGATTGGTCCACGTGTTCATAGCAACGTGTCAGCGGTGGCAGCCGGCTGTGATGTGGAGTCGAGCTTGCGAACTGATAAATAAAATACGTGCATTGTAAAACTTGCTGGGTGGTCACGAAATCATTAGTCAGAGAAATTGGTTACGCTGAGACAAAGTATGCCGTCCTGTCCCGTGACAAATCAGCATAATGAAACTTCATCGACGAGGCACACTAAGCGTGCGCGATGACGCAAATTAGGTGTTTACTATGATGTGGAATCGACCAATCACGTATCTCCGCTCCACCGTGCAAAATGGCTAACGCAACTAGACAGGCACAGGCCGCTCCTGGTAAAACCACCAATTACAAAAAGATCCGAGCCTCTGTCGTCTTCAGACTCTCATGAGTTACGCGATGCTACAGTGAGAAGATGAAGGTTCCACAAGTTTCCTTGTCTATTAAAAATTAGATGTTACAATTTGTGCAAAGCCCACCAGTCCAATGGACATTTGCAGCAAAACATGGATCATATAAATCTGAACATCGGTTAAGACTTGAGACGTGGTACCAGGAAATTCATCCAAACTCAAAAGAGTGCCAACTGGTGCCTGAGGTAGGTTGGCGTGCTACCACTGTGGAATTGAGGAAATGCACGTGCCCAAGTGCTTAAACGCCTGGAGTAAACGGTGAGGCGGTGGCGGCACGGAACCAGAACAAAGGCGGTATGTGGTACCTTTTTCGTCTAATACAATGCACCACCCAGACTAAACATAGCTTAATGACAAAACACCCTCACCGGCGATAGACCTTCAATCAAAAGGTTACAATTCAATTGATTGTTTATGGCCCACGGACCTGCTTCTGAAATACCTCCATGTTGAGTTGCTACTTAAGAGTAATTGACAATAAGCAGAAAACGGAACAGTATTTTGATGGCCGCTATCAACATTTTTAACGATATTTAATTTAAATAATTCAAATAAAATGTTTTTAGGGTGGATATGAGCATTTAGGTACAATGGAGCCTACATTTTCACAATTTTCGTTTCTATTCATAGTTTCAAAGCAGAACGTGGGACTCGAGTGTTCGGTGGAAGAGAATAGCGAGACAGGAGGGTTGGTATCGGTCGACTGTTGGTGAGGTAGAGTGGGCTTGAGGCCGGCTAGTGGGTAAGGCGGACCAGATGAGAAACCCGTCGCCTTTTCTCCAACACGCAACGTCACTGCATCGAAAATTTGGTCGTCATCAGAGGCCGGCGGACCCGACATTGCGTCCCCTGAGGCTTTGCTGAAGCATTTCGATGCAAGAAGTGTAACTTATCATGACACGAAGGTGAGCGAGAGCTTAAAGTGGCCGGTTAGACAAACGGAAGTGTAGACTGACACAAAGGAACATCGTCAGTAAGGTAACGGCAAATACAAAGAGACAATGGTATTTTTAGAACTGAAACGGAATATTAAGATAATTTTGTCAATAAGAAACGATGCGTAAGGGACTTGGTCTACAACTTTATAAGCTATCTACAACAGTATAACGGAACAGAAATTGTCCGAAGAAAAAACAGCAAGGACATGCCACTAAAGAGATACCAGAGCAATAAAACCTATTGGCAGGTTTATTGTGGGTTACATAAAATCTAGCACAATACAAGATATAGACTCTCAAGAATTTTAATTAAGTACATTACCGAATAATTTAAATTTAAATAAGCTATATGACACAAATAAGTGAAATACAAATCCAACGTGTGAAGTTTGCAAATGAGACCCTGAAAAGTGATGCAAATGCAAGCACAGGATTATGCTATGTGTGATACCCCGATTCACTCACTCGTTTGAAACACCACCACAACGAGGGACCCATTTTCGAAACTGGTTTCGCAATGGTCCTTAATCTCACCAGGAAGGATTTCGCCGTTACATGCCATTAGCACGTGAGAATGAGAGAGTAACAGTACTGGAGGCGAGTGCGGTTAGAATTTCCCGCGGGTGGTCAGTTGGGGTTATTATTACGCTTCTCTTTGAATAAATGGTAGCGAATACCCATGTGATTCGGTTGCACAATATCACAATGGAAAACTTGCAACAAAGCTATATGGAGAACTCAAAAAGAATTTTGTTAGGCAAGTCTAAACGGGCAGGATTTTACATTCATTAAATTCTCTTTGACAAACACTGACTTTGGCACAACGATAATTTTGGCATGGGATTGAAACACACGGTCAAATGGATACCTACCCGAGAATGCAATGGTAGTTAAGAAGGAGCAAGTTTTCAAAAGAAGAGGTCGGCGAGAACACGTTAGTAGTTTCGTTGTTCAGTGAAGACACCGACTTCTCCTCAGCACCCCCATCTCCTTGATTTCGCAGAAACGGCAGACTAATTGTCTTGAAGTAGAAGACATCGCCAGACCCACCCCAACGAGCGCGATAGATTGGACAGACGACAAAACGTCGTTGGAGAGCCTCTTCCATGGCCGCCTCGGCAATATCGGGGCTCAGTCTGCTGGTCGTCGAGACGACCTGCTGCTGAGGTTGCGGCACCCCACCTGAACTCACACGGCGTCTTCGCTGTTGACCCGCTCCATTCTCCGAGGCGGGTGGTGAGTGGCTAACCGAGAGCCGAACTGAACGCCAGCGATCCGCCTCAGCAAAAGCTGTGAAATAGCAGACAGATAACTTGCCTTCTGGAATCGATTATAGATGATTTAGTACTATTCGATAAGAGATAGAACATCTACTTATCAAAAATCCATACCGCCATTAAGGACACCAGCAGCAAAATAAATTGTCATTGCCACGATAAGCATTCATGAACGCGAATAGGAGTTTTGATTCTAGAGAGGATCCTAACTTATCGAGTCAAAAGACGAATACAAAACTAATTTATCAATATTTGTGTAGTATACGATGTTTTAGAAACCCATTGTCCTGCTTTTAACTCGCACATAAACTTGGTATTTAGATATAAGATCGGCAACATTTTTTTTAAAAAAAACAAGCTGGATTGTATCGAAGGCAGCGCTACCGAAAATTCCATCATGTGTCGGCCGGTTTTGACGGTGTTTGCAGCATTGATGATAATATAACAGGTGCATATAATAAATCGAAGGGTTAACGAAGAAAAAGTAGAAAGAACTTTCAAAAAGACGCATAAAACTGTATCATTGAACAAAAGTAAGGCTGTAATTTAATCAGTATTGGAAACGAGACGAAAGTATGGAAACTGTGGAACGCCTATGGGACGAATAGGTGGTTGGTTTATTAAAAATGAACGCCTTTAACAGCTGCGTCCTCTCCCATATTCGTGCGGCGTTTATTTGCAACGAGAACTCTTGTGTACCGAAGTACACACTGACAGTGGCACCCGAAAATTTAGACATTATGCGCGGACAGCCTACGATTTGGGAAACATAATTGCATATGACTCATCACGGCGTTCTAGTGCCATGGAATAATTAAACAATTAAGACAAAAGTACACCGTAAGGGAACTTTCAGTTTCGTTTTGTCAGAAAAATAAGATGATCGGGAAACACTTTGAACTCATCCACACATCTAAATGAAAAGTGGAGGGTCAGAACATGGAGGTTTCTTGATTTCTACCATCAGAGTCACAGCCACTACTGCATGTGAGAGAAAAATACCTGCCGAAGCTTTTAAAAGCAAATTAGTTGCAGCATGAAAACTGTCTCAATAACGTCACCACAAGGAATTATACTCACTAGCGCACTGGCACACCACGGCGTCTCTTAGCTCCTTACTATGATAGTGTATAATGAGTCAGGCTTGTGACGGATAAACGAAAAGTGCTAATAATATGAGTCGGGGAAACCAATTAAGCCGCTAGCAGCTAAAGTTAAGGGAAAGACACTGAGAAATATCCTTAAATTTAAGTCACACACAATACTTTTGCAGCAAAAGGCCACGAGTAGTATCAAATGACATGAGAATCTTTGCTTAGTCCTGCTAGGACGAATTAACTGACTGGCCGGTTGTCTGGGGCGTGGCCGAAGGAGGCGTTTACCAAAAAGAGGGTAGTGTGTATTTATAGCAGAGTGCCCAAACTGCTAGACAATGCAAATTAGCATTCCAGGAAAGCTGTTAGAAACAGAGGAATATAACAAATTTTGTGAATACTAACAAAGCCAGATACGCGCGAAAACCCTTTAGAAACACGTCAATCAGCCGTATATGATAAAAAACAACTTCAGAACTTAGGAAATAAAGGCAAATAAGTTTAATCAGACAGAATCAGCAATGGCAACCTATGGATCCCATCTGTTGATGCTTTTGGATTTAGTGCAACCTCAGTTTTGCCACTTAACTAGGGCTAGAAACGAACAGAATACAAATTTAGATTGCTTTTTTTAACAAAAAAGGAAAGTGTTGCGATATGTGCAAATAGGGTAATAATTTAATCACCAGTTACCTAAACCCTTTACCAATGTTGGCCTGAATAACGTTGCCTAAACTGGATGCTGTCACTTGAAATGACCCGAAAAATGACTGACTAGACGATAAATAAACAAAGTGATGCATTTTCAGAACAATTATGAGGGTGCACGTACAATTTTTTTTACATTAATAGTATATTGCCAAATCAGGCTTTGGGCGATCAACGTGAAAAGAATGTGACTTCACGTCAAATTAGCTCATGAATTTAAAACTGACCTTCAATTAAATGCTGATTCCAGATGTCAGCGTCGGGCTCATGAACGTAGTCGCCCCAGCGCACATCAACAAAGTTCTTGATGCCGTCTCTAAGCGACGGGTTCCTCGGAAAGTGTCTAGAAATCGAAACACCGAGGTTACTATGGAAAATGTCGAAGCAAATAGACCAACTAGGGTTCATGTCCCGTTGGAGACTGTTGAGAATTCGGCAACTCGTGTTGCATCACATACAACTTTTGCGGAAGCAACAAGTTTCAGCAAGAGGCTGGGCCTTTACAAAAAACTGACCAGGTAAATTGAAGGCTCAGACCGTGCAGCTAAACGGACATGGGCATAGTTTCGTTACATCGCTAAAGTCTTGCTAAATTACTAGTGAATATTAAATCGTGTTCACTTGTAATACTGAGAAAAGCGAGTAGTTACTTAAAAGTAACCTTGATAAGAATATGACTTGCCACTGATAAGACACCGAAACCAAATAGTATCTAATTTCACCGAGTTGCTGGTGTCGAATTTTACATTTAAGCTCAAAAAATGGAAATTTGTTTGCACGAATCTAGGCCCAGAATGTACTTCAGTCCCAAAACGATTAGAGGCTGACCAAAAAAGATGGTTTCCTAATCAGTTTGGCTGAAAAAAGACAAGCGACAGGAGGAACAAACACACAGTCAAACATGCGTGTCTTATAAGTTAGCTTCTGTACCTCTACGTAGTTATGTCGACTTAATTATACTTTTACTTATTCTTAACAAATAACACAAGCCACGCAGAACTTCCAAATTATAGATTTTGGCAGGAACCAAAGTCGTTACACAGGCCTAAATATAACACTAATTCATCAGTTTAAATAATGTTAGAAAACATTTTATTATGCTCGTTGAAACCCGAACCGGCGTTAAGGCCACATGGCGTAAATTTTGGCCCGTGATGTAGATGGGTGGTGAGACGGTCTGTGAACTTAGATAAGGAAATGCCGAGTGCCAAACTAAAAACATACGGCAGAACCACTAAATGCAGCATTACTGACGGCATTAGACTTAACAAGAAGTGTTATTTTGAAAAAAATTTATCGTCAAAGCGGCTGAAATGACAAACAACGAAAAATGCGCAAGATGTGAAAGGTTCATTGTGAAGAGGAAAAAGCATCGGGTGGGGTTGGGGATGGCGACCAGCTAAAATGAAAAGTCATAGAACGAAAAGGTTGCAGTGAACATCCGATTTGTAATTAATATCCCACAAGACGATACTTTAATAGTCCTCACGCCATTCACACAAGCACCCACCGAGTATGGCAGACAACGGGACTTAAACTAAGACGGAACTGCAAAAACGATAGCTGGCACCACAGACTTCAGCGGAATATTTGGAACTGCTTTGGGTAGCTGCACAATGAGCACGCCTGCGTCGGCTAAGAACAAAATAGAATATTGTGAAAATGGAAACTTCTACATCCTACAATTTGCTCAACTAAATGTTCAAACAAGAAACATTTACGTCATAATAATCGAGTATAAGGGGTTTTCTACTAAATGCATTTGTTTACAATAGCAAAAGACGATCCCAATTACCACTTAGCAGATCTAGGATACAATAATAAGAAGAGAAAAGAAGTCCGTTTGGATGTAGGGCCTATGCAGATGCCTGGAATGAGAGTAAGTGAGGAAAAAACACTAGAAACTTTGGACACGCATTGCCACCGATGCAGAAAGGTCCCTTTCGGGTCTGTGTCAATGCCAATAGCTAAAATGATTTGTCAACACACATTTAAAACCAAATCACGTGGAACATTTGGTAAGACATTCAGAAACATTGAATGTGAAAAGAAGGGCAGTTGCAAGTCAAAAACAGCAACTGTCTTTAAAACTAGACAGCCGTAAGTTCGACAGCGTCCAAATCACGACCGACGACATTGCAAATCTGCAGAAAACTGATTGTTGTGCTAGGCCTGAGTTAGATGTGAATGAGGTGGAGTCACATTTAGAAACTATGAGTCAGTGATGTGTCTGGTATAAATAGACCGAGGAATCCAGTAACAGTAATAGGGTATTGAATGATCGTGATAAAGCACTACACGTAGTCAGCCTAATAGGGTAAGTTTGGTGATTTAAATAAATGGGTAAATTCATGTGAAGTTTTGTCATTTGATTATGACGGGGATTCATTTGAAGGACAATATGTACTTACAACTAGGTAAAAAAGGGGTACATAACCTAGCCATATTAATCACAGATTCTGTTTCAATATAGTAATCATACCGCCAATACTGCAAGGTAGGGGTGATATAATCCTAGGTATACATAATAACAGCCTTGTTTGATAATCCAGCGGTCACAAGTAAGAGGGACCGATGAAGATTATCCGCGGTTATAAGACGCACAACTTATTAGGCTGAATTTGTACTAGTGAAATAGACGAGAAAATGTATCCACCTGGTAACGGTTACAGAAACGTCCACAGTCTATTCAGCAGTTTTTATGACAAATTTTAGGGGCTGTAACCTGTGGTTGTATCAAACAAGTGTTATTGAGTCGAGGATGCTAAATTGAAAACGATGCGAAATAGAGGAGCCCAGCGAGACAGCGAACTCGATGAAAAGCGACTCAGAAATTGGCAAGGCCGTACGTAAAGAAAACGGATATAGGGTTTTGGCACGTATAGTGTAACGCGACCTGGGAATCCAAACTACATTGAGAGTGGCTTAAACATTAGGAAATATAAAAACACACCCATTGTAGCCAAAGTCATTATCAAACACACCCTAAATTTGGGGAGCAAATCAGCAAATATACTCAGATCCAAGCATCACTTAATTGGAAATCCTGTCCCATTTTTGGTGTGAACCTTGGCCTTCACACGTAGACACGTACACACATACACGAGCGAGTTGAATATAACCGGCGTCAAAAAAGGAACAAATGAGGTGCGTGTAGGTGATGGGGGAAAACGCCATATAAGAAGGGCGAAAAACCTTAGGGCAAAGCTGTCTGTTTGTTAATTTATCGTCATATTTGATTGCAATATTTATACATGGGTTAAGTAATAGTTGGCACAGTCTTCCTTAAAAAAAGACGTCTTATCTGTTAACCTGGAAACTCACTACAGATTTAAAGGTAAGGGCAGAGGTTCTACGTGGTTTGAATGTAGTGGGGGCGTAAATTAACTTACGCCTCGTGGTAGATGACACTCCCATTACGATCCGTTAGGGTGACTACGATGTTGACGAACCAAGAGGGATCAAGGCAGGCGGAGTTTAGATCCACGTCAGAGGGAACAATGAGACGGAAAGCGCTGCCACAGTCAGCATCCTCGCGACACAGGGTCGGCAGTTGCTGTACCAAACGAAATATCTCGCCATCCGCCGTCACTAAACTCTTATCAACAGCGCTGCTACCCCCGAGCCCCACCTTAGGCTGTATGAAACGGGAGAGGTCGTGAGAACGGAGACAGGGAGTAGAGAGAGCATTGTCTTTCATTTTCAACACAAGAAGGATTCCTGAAAGGAGGATGAAGGTGGCATTTCAGCATTTAGATCAGAGAGCCCTAAACAAGAATGGGTGCATTAGCGCCAAGACATATTTCGCATGACAGTTGACTGTACCAGAACATGCATTTACATTAAAAAACGAAATATTATTAAACAAACTATAATTATATAAAGGTTTCTGGTGCCGTATTAACAGGTTTGACGGATCGATTAGATCTTTGACATTCAGATGAAAAATTGTGAAGTTAGGATTGAAGAACAAGGCTAGAATAATCAACACACTTGCCGCCAACACTATAGACATTCCAAAATCGCATCGAGCAAATAAACGGTGTAAACAAATTGTTCATGAAACATACTGCGCGTGATTAATGAAAAACTAAAATACTCGTATTTACCGTACGGTTTTCATAAAACTGATAAATTAGCAGGTAAGCAAAAATTGCGCCTCGTAGGCATCACCACTAGCAAGGTAAAAATGATAAAGGATACATCCTTAATAGACATTGCTACAAATGGCTACACAATGGCAGTTTTTTTAATCCTTTTCACGAAATCAAAAAAAGTTTTCGCTTTTTGGTTAAAAGATTCCCAATTGATGCTGAATAAAGATTATTTAACTCAACCAAAGTTGATCTCAACATAATGAACAAGCGTGAAGATAAAAACAATAAATTATTGCAACAAGAGTAGGTAAGCAGTGCCTGAGAGCTGAAAAACGGTTTACTGTAAACCAATTTAGCCTATCAACTTTCAACAACGTCGTTACCTAAGAAGGCCAAAACAGTTAGCCAGAGATTACGCTAAAAAATAATGAACAAGGGAGTGTTAAAAGAAAAGCAGATACCAAGCCAACAACATAGCGGAAGTAAATAGAAGTACTCGATCGAAGAAGTCAAAGGCAGTTAGATGAAACCGGACCGTTTGCTAAATGTCATGCACTAGACAGGAATTTATTAAACTAAAGCAGAAGAAAGTGCGAGAGAAGACGCAGGAAGAATTTAGGTTTGTGGGACGAAATCAGTTAGCGCTAGCAGCCGGTGAACAAAATAAAAAATATGCGATAGTGCACAAAGTGGTAAAAATCATACAAACTAAAATCGATCAATGAGTTGAAGTAAGGAGGCTACAAGTAGTCTCAGCAAAGTCTGAAGCTCACATAAGAAATAGCATATTTGCAATTTTTTAAAGACGAATTCAAGAGCGGAAAGACATCAGGAAAGCCATCGTGAGCAAGGATTCAACATCAGAGGGGAAATTCATAGGAAAATCCAGAAGTCATAACAAAACGATTATAAAAAAAAATTAAAAAATGCTCACGAGTTGTTACCACAAATACACACCTTGAGTAAAGTAAGAAATTAAAATCCAACTATTTAGTCTACGGATACCCACAAAAACATGAAAAGAAAAACCAGGCTTACAAAAAATGAGTCAATAAATAGAAAATGACAAAAGTGAATGAGTATATTCAGTCACAGAGGAGCGTTGCAGGAACAAAGCCGAAAAGCAAGTGCAATTCAAGGAAGAATTATATAAATGTTGTAAGTTGCCAAAAGATTAGTTGCCTTTTTAGGACACTAAAAGGAGTGGAAGTGTTCCAAGTAAATCGAATATATGATGATAAATCAAATCAAACAAACTTAAAAACTAAAAACGCTAACTAAGGTCAACCCACATGAAGCAACAACAGGCTTCAATCAATCAAAACGTTATAAAGTAAACCACTGAATCGTATTTAGCACTTTTTTGCTAAAAGTGGAAAAGTACATGTATTGAGGAGCATCAGAAAGTAACGACGAAGGGTATGGAATACCTTGGTCAAACAGCACGCAACGATGTAAAATAACAATAAAATCCTATATTAGGCCATTAAACGTACCACAAACCACACTACGCCATAACAAAGAACCTAGAAGCCATTCACAAAAAACTTCAAACGAGCGGTGGCCTACAAAAGTAATTCGCTAAAACAACAATGCTGGAAAATGCAAAAGTAGCAGTTAAAAAAAACTACTACTACAAAGGTATATAAACTTTAAATATTATAAATACATTAATCATCTTTTTACCTTTTTATATTAAAAAAAATTCGTTTTTTGTGCGAATGAGGAACTGAAATAATTCACTTGTGAATTTTCAACGTTGAATTTCTCACAATAAATCAATGATTCTTAGTCTCAAAAACTATTTGTTTGAAAATTTCGCGTGTTCTTAGCATTCTTAAAGTTCACATCCCTTTGGTATCAATAAATTGTGAACAAATAATTTTTCATTAAATCGTTCCTCAAATTTCATATGAAAACGCATTTCTCATCGTGATAACTGCCTAATTTTTAGTTACCGTTAGTTTAACTTATGATTATTATCTGCATTACCATTTGGATCTAAAGCAGCCATGTTTGTATTGTACAAATTCACCCCCCCATGACTTAATATCGGTATTTTATTGATTGGTTTCCGAATTAATTCTGCTGCCATGGTGAGCCGAAATTTGTTTCGAATCACAATCTCTTAGTTATGCAAAAATGTTCGCCGTGTGGCCGACGAACGACGGTCGGACCTGTCCTTTGTCCAATCGCATCGTCTCACCCTCAGGCCTGCCACAAGCTCCTTAATGGAATGCGGGTCAACCCTGACAACATTTTTACTATTCTCATCCTATTCCAGCACAAACAAAAGCTTTAAGTTCAAGCCCACTATTTTAGCATATGGTTATCTAGATTACGTCAGGCTACTTTTACTAGTTTTCTTTCACAAAACTGCTTGCATAAAATCGTGTGATCTTTTCCTAAGTCATGATTGACCGAAGCATGTTTGAGACCAGATAACTTAACGCGTAATGGCGGTGAACTTCAAACTGGAGTTTATATCCAGCTAGGTTGGTAAGATATCGCATTTTTAAATAGATAGTGAATACTGACACAAACTATGATTTAATTTGAGGTCAGTTCAAATTTTTCGGTCCTAGAAATTTGAATCGATCTGGTCAATTCGATAAAAACTAAATGGCTTTAGCCACAAGGTGATATTACGTACCCTAAATAAAATCAGATTTTAAGTCAGCTTGACAACCATTAACAAATGAGTTGATGAACGTCATCATCAAAAGTGTCCTTTTAAGCAATACCCAGCCTCATATGCTTGAAAGTTCGAATCCTTAGCTGTCGACGACCGCACTAATCCTTTCGAAATCACGAAAGAAGCAGTCTAACCAGATAACATAGCCGAAATTCTTAGAAGGTCCAGTTGTCCTTGAACATACAAAAAAGTGATCCAGGACTTGTCAACCAAATCTTTGGCAGGTCAAGCTTTGAATACAGTTTGGATAGATGAATTTTAATTAGTGGTAGATCCTTCATAAATCGAGTACTCTGCGTTTTGCTCTCAAGGAACACGCTAAAAGTGCGATTTTTATTACTGCGAGATCTGGCAAAGTTTATATGAATTTCTCAATAGACGATTAGATGGATGGATATAGTTGCTTTGCCGCCCCTGATCTGCAGCACCTGTCACCATACTTACACAAAAACAAACGATCCCCTCGTTACGTTTGATACAAGCCTATTGCTAGATCTCTGTTAATCCAAAAGCGGCTCACTTCACTGCTTAATTTAGGCGAACTTTGTCTATGTCCTCAGAGCGACTAGCCCCTACGTACTTAGAAGCACCAAACACCGTTCTCCTACAAGTAAATGCGTTAGAGCTTACCGCCAAGACATCTGTGTGAATTAGTAGTTTTGAATTAAATTGCTATCACACGATCCTATGCTTAAGAATACTACCTAACCTCAGAAATTCTGTGCGCTTATCAAGCCTGTCACTTATCTTTCACTCACAATTCCGGCACGTGTTGTAACAGGAGCAGACGCCCCTCACGACTTAATTCCATCAGCCAAGCCTCTAACGATACTAACCATTTCTCTAGTGTGGATAAACCTCCAGCTGATACTTTCGACCGATAATCCATTCTACAAGTAGGATATCCACGTGGACTTTGTAAGGTAGGTGATCGCTCAACTGTAGACACCGAAATCGAGGCAAATGTTATTACCGCCACATCCCAAAATGTTCTGCCACAGGCACTTGGAGGGCTTACACAAGGGTTGTCCACGGGCAAATCGGTATTGCGTGACCGAGACGAACCCCGGTGTTTTCTCAGCATGTCTTACAGGAAAATACAAACTATTCGAATCTGATTATCTTATCGCCTCATTGCACACTGCGTCAAGGACACTATCTCAAGATACTAACACCGATGGGCAGGCTTATACGGCCTAAAATGTGTTTAATCTACAATAGCTGAAACGCCACCATTACCTGACATTTCCTGACGACTGTTTAAGCCTTCTTTGGAAAATTTTTCAGCCTCATAGCACAGTTACGGAGCAGACGGTTACATTGCAGTCGGAAAACTGCTCAGTGCTATTGTTCTGTCCAAGTTAATAGGTCAGAAAAAGGCACCAAACCTCAAAAATGAAACACTATCGATGAAAGAGCAAAAAAAAGTAGTGGCAACAGAAAAAAAATTGAAGGGTGAGGGGAAAACTAACTACTACAACCATTAATTTGATGTTAGACGCATATTTACAGAAGGGCCGCTTAGTGAATACTAAGGTGGCCGCAGCACACGGGACTGCTGTGCAGCCAAAAAAAGAGCAGCTGCTTGCTGTTGCTGTTGGTGCTGGTTTTGGACCTGCTGCTGTTGAAAGAGAGCCGCAGCAGCCATCTGTTGCTGTACAGCAGTAAGGTTTGTCGGCGATGTAGCTGATTGGGGAGCTGCAACGGGTTGCTGCTGCTGCTGAGCCGCAACAGCCGCAGCTTGCAGGGCAAGCAATTGCTGACGTTGTTGCTGTTGTTGAGTTAGGGCCACACCAGTTGCCTAGAAGAGTCGAAACGAACAATAACAATGCGAGGCGTAACCTTAAGAGAGGCTTAAACACTTTATAATCGAAAGCAAACGCAACTTCTTGACTTCCCGTCTGCATCTTCTGCCAGCTCGACCTACAGGTCTAGTACTACTGAGCAGAGTAAGAACTTAGAACAATGTTGATTTCAATCACCGCACATATACACAAATCTCAGATATCAAGAGACATTGATGTTTACTTATATCTACACTTGTTAAAAAACCGAAACATTTCGATCAGTACAGATTTTAAGTCTGGTTTCCGACAGCCATCTTCAAAGCTAAAGCCATTTTAAGCGACCTTAAGGATTGAGTGAGGAGCTTTTGAAAATGAAGAAGGTCACTTTCAATTTCAGCAAAATAACTTTCGCGGTGTGAGCGATAGTCACAAAAAAGACGGCTTCAAGACTTACATGGTTCGCCGCAAAGGTAAAACGATATTTGGTTGCAAAAATAATCTTTTCTTAGAATTCCGCAAGTGGCGGAATACCACTCTACATCTTTTCATCAAAACTCCAATTCACTTCATATTTAAAAGATCGTGTTTCATTGAAGTAACACTGCCTTGACAGATGTGATCATTAGTCCACTAACCAGATAGATTCCAAAAATGGTTGAAGCGAGTAACGAAGCCAGTTGATGGTGAAACTACAACACTGTACAATTCTAAACACCACGAAGGGATAATGATAGAATCACTGCTAGTTGGCCGAAGTCTAACTAATTGAAGTTATAAGAGTGGAACGAAGTACCAGAAACTCACGTTGGCAGAAACCATAGCAGCAGCACTGATTTGTTTCTGCAACTGCTCCTGCTGTAGAACCTGATTCCGTTGAGCAGCAGCCATAGCGGCAAGCACTGTTGGCGATTGCGAGGTAGCGCTCTCAGGGCCAACATCGTTTCCTGCCGAAGTCGTTTTATTAGCTGCAGACGTTGTGGCAACAATGCTGGCAGCCGAAGTCGCTGCAGGTGGAGTAGAATTTGCAGCAGCCGCCGCCGCCACTGCTGCATACGCTGCAGCCTGCTGTTGGGCCTTCATTTGCAAGATTAGTTGAATTTGTTGTTGTTGCGCCGCAGCAAAGGCCTACAGAGGAAAGAAAATAAGGTAGAAATCAAGAAAGGTTCGAGATAGTGAATGTGCATTAATACGTAGGATACTTGCCCAGTAGCACACGCGCACATTAAAGTATGGTAATAATGAGAAGCTGTAGGGTAATCATGCTTAGTTGACCACAACGTAGAATAATTCTACTAAGCCACCTCAGCAGTTAGGATTTACGATGGCAGGGTGTTGATTCCTGTTTGTAAACGCAATTTGAAACAAATTTGGCAAAAGGGAGAAGGTGCAAACGGCTTTACCAAGTCCGGTGGAGAATATTAACACAAAAAGAACGAATAGATTAGCAAATGTTGAATGCGGTAAAAGGCAAACTAGACAGTTACCTGCAAATTTCAATGGTTTCGTGAAGGTGAAAGGCTACAAGTACGAAAGCAATAAGTGCAATAAAAAAGTACAGCTACTTACACGAAGTGATGCATTGTAACGGAAACATGACGTTTAAATCCTCTTGAACGCATAAGTGTAGTGGTTCAAGTCAACATGTCAATCCGTGAGTGTGAGAACGCCATGTAATGTGATATGGGTAGACATTAACGTTAGGGCAATTTAGTGTAGCTAAAATAACTTCAACGCATAAAAGCACAATCAAAGCGCGAAGAAAGGGGCCAGTGACATCAAGGACAAAACTCACTGAATTTTGTATTCACATAATGCTTGTTAACCTTCTCACAACCTACCTTAGCGGCACGAAGTACGATGCGACATAAATCAATTCCACAATTAAAATACATACACTAATGTCAGCAAGTTTTTGCAGGAATGCAATCGTCCGCACAAAAAGAACGTGCATTGGCGTGGAGAAATGAAAGAAATGAACAAGCGACTAGAAGTATTTAAAGAGATTTACAAAACGGCCAAATAGACCAGCTTACCGAGCCGTTCTTGTTTTGCTCTAGGACAGAGTAAGATCATATGTGAGTTTTTGTCAGACGTGTTCCGAGAAAGTGCTGAGAGGAAGTGAAGCAATTAAGGCAACACTAGACAGGCGCATGAGCGTCCGTGGCATGCAAACACACTGACAACAGACGGACAACAAAGTCACCAGCATTTGTGAAGCCCATGCAAAAAACCACGTATGCAGAAAAACGTAGTTGAGAATCGGCATCACATCGAAAGCTTTTTTCAGTGGCAGAGTTAAGAGTTGATGGCGTCAAAAGAATCACACAGGGATGTCCATTCGCTGAGATTTATTTGGTGCCCCAATTTAAGAAAAATCTTATAAAATACTCGATTTTACACTCCCGATGGCCGCTAATTTTGAATAACAAATTAAAATAAGTTTTACCATGTAAAATGTAAGATTGCACGAATTTCATTGGACTAACATGACTACTTATTAAAATTATCATAACTTCTGCTAGGCATAACTACAGCAGGAATAAGTCTCATTCCGAAGTATTTCAGAAGAGCAAATAAAACCATTGGCTAAGATCAGCAATAAAATTAATCTTTTTAAGACGTATTTGGGAAGAATCCCAAAACACTTGAGTTGTGAGTTTTGAGGCAGATTTGACGTCTCTTAAAAGCCGATGATTTCATTAAAATTTGTTTCTGGATAAGCATATGTCGTACCAATGCGGCTTCATCCACTGACTAGTCACCACTCCGACGAAAAGTAGAACATGGTGTGAGTGACGTCAAAATGAAGACACGGCTAAGGTCCGAAATACAAAAAAACGCTAAATCGATTCTTGATTCTACTATTTACTGTTACAGAGTTTTTATTATTATTTAATTCTCCACGAGGTAGCCTCATGTCTTCGAAAGTTAGTTTAAAAATAGAAAATTAAAGACAAATACTTCACCAGCAAGAGGTTGTCAAAAGCATATATCGTCTCCAAAATACGTTTTCGCCATTACTTCGATCAGATAAGACAGTGACCAGTAGAAAAATAAACAAGCCAAGAAATCTGCCTATGTCACTCAACTAGAAATGCGTTTACCGAAAATATCGATTTAGGCACAATTTATTTGGATAATTTATACTAAAGAGCGAAGTTCGCAAAGGCCGAGTACCACAACGAGTTAAGGTACACATACCAAAATTTCAGTGCACAGGCATCATCATCTCTTGTAGGTTTGAAAACGAAATATTCCGATCGTTACATAAGCAAAGCCGAAGGTGCAAGCACACAAGGTTCAAACTAAACATAAATGCAAACAAAGGAGGAGAAGGAACTAAGATACAACAGGAAAAACCAAGGAAGTTGGGCCGGGGGTATTAGTGATGCAGGTTATGATAACGATGGGAGAACGCATACTTAAAGCAACGCACACATAGAGTGAAGGGAGCAAACGGTTGCGGCAGTTGGTGTCATCTAAATGTTCGATTACGCAAACAAAAGAGAAAAATGAATTGGCACGAGCACACGAATATTGATCATGACACCTTGATAATTTTCACTCACACAAAACGAACAACTAAAATTATCCCAGGCGATTTCAATTAGTTACCAACAAACACCTTGAAGAGTAATCAAAATGGAAGTTGTACATGGGGACTTCTCCAGATATTGGCAGCATAAACTATGGGCCCAGTTTCATGATCGGATTTGCGCAGCCACAACTTCGCATAACATGGTGCTATTTGCTAAGTTATTTACTTTAGGAAGTAGCGTTATTTCAACATGACGGAGTCGAAAACAAGAATATTAATGTGGTCATTAATGAAATCCACACCTGTTGTCGTTGATGCAGAATGCTCTGGAGAACGGCCTGCTGCTGTTGCTGGGCTACGGCCATGGCAGCAGCGTTGGCGCTATCAGCTTGTGGAACAGCGGCTGCTTGGTGCTGTTGTGCGGCAAGCAACAGAGCTGCCTGTTGGGCTGACTGAACCTGGTGCTGCTGAGCCTGCTGTTGCTGAACGGCGAGGAGAGCGGTCTGTTGTTGCTGGTGTTGCAGTGCCAAAATTTGGAGTGCCTGCTAAACGAACAAGAATATGGTAATACATAAACACCATTTATCAGTTGCGACAAAGTGGTGAAAAACGTCGCAAGTAGATTAACATGTCAGATCACGACTATCAACGGAATTATACGGTCACTGTCACGCTAAATGCATCCCCGAATTAGAAATTTTGGCCTTAACAAAAACAATACCTTTTTCAATATAAAAGTGCAAAATTCAAACCTGCTGCTGATGCTGTTGAAGAATCGTGGCAGCCTCAGCTTGCTGGTGTTGTCTAATAAGCCCTTCCAGCACCATTGCTTGTGTCGTGGCTCCAGCCATGAAATAGAGTTGCTGTCTTTGTCTTAGCTGGTCTACCAAGGAGAGTTGACCGCTTGCTGCGTGAAACATTGTGGTCGGAGCAGTGACGGAAGGTTGAACAGCGGCAGCTGATGCAACAGCAGCTGCAGCAGCGAGCTGTTGTTGCTGCTGGCTAGCCTGAAAATGAGCCTGTTGTAATTGCTGGCGGACGTGTTCCTTGGCCTGTTCTTGCAGCGCTGTGTCAACGATAAGGAATAAAGGCCATTAATCTAAATTTATAGAAAAGCCAACCTATAAAGCACACATTCTTAGCTTTGTAAAAACAGTCACGATAGAATCCTACGAGCATACACATTCCACCATTGAATCAAAAATGTTAACGAGGCCAACCAATGATCCAAAGTGAAAAATATTGCCCCTAACATCGTACTTCCATGAGCAACGCATTACAAGGTATACTCAGTGGGTATTGCTAAAGACACCAAAATCCGTAGTTCACAGGGAAGCCGTCTTTTCCAATACAATAAAAGGCTATTTGAAATGTAGATACTCCACGATTTACAAAAAGCAAGCAACACGGTTGTCCTTAGCCGACACAACAGCACAACTAGATCGATCAATGGTAATGTATTCCTTGTTCAATGTTCTGGATTTCGGTAAGCAGGTTCAGACGAACAGTATCACAACAGATTATGGGATTTTGTTTGGCAAATCATTTTTGGGAAATAACGATTTGAAAATTATTTAAAAAAAAACAGAAGAACCTTTGATATCTGCATTACAAGAAACGTACGGTCTAGTAGAGAAAATGGATCATTAAATGAATGGAAAGTAGGTAGTGTACCTTTATACTGTTCGTCTTTTTCGGGAGGAGTCATGAACTCCGATTTGCTATCTTCCTGTTTTTTTACAGATTCGTTGACTACTTTTTCAGACTTCCTTTTAGCACCAACGTGAGCTTTCCAATTGTTAGTCGATGTTGAGACGCCGCTGGTTAATTTGGGAGGGGGTGAAGAGCTGACTTTCAAGCCAAGTTTTTTAGCCATATCTGGCGGCACCTAAAATATTAATAATCATTCGCCTTAGACCGTCCAATCGGATATTTAACTAGAAAAGAATTTCATTCCTCACACTTACTTGTGGGCCAATATAGTTCGAGCTATCTTCTTCATCCGCCTCTGCCTTTTTGTTCGGTTCATCGGTATGTGATTCCTCGATTTTAGGTAGCGTAGGGGGCGTTGAAGGTGGACTAGGTTCTGTCCGCCCTGTTATCTTCCTAACAGCCGCACTCGCTGCTGCAGCTATGGCCTCCGATGGCTTATGTCCACGAATGAGATTGTTTTTATTTCCTAAGGGGCGTGAAAGTCGACACTCGGATGGACTGACTACAACAGCTGCTGTAACCACACCACTCGGAGAACGTCGGCTGGCAGTGCTCCGACTTGGTGGAGGAGTTCGCGATGTATCCCGCGAATTAGGTGACTGGGATCTGTCAGACGAGGTGTAACGTCCATGGCGACTGCGCGAAGAATAGGAGCGATATGACGACCTCCGCCTATAAGAGTCACCACTTCGTGAATACCGTCTTCTACGCCTACTACCCCGTCCTCTACTAGAAGAACGAGAATACGAACTTCGAGAATAAGATGAACGAGTGGAAGAATGACGATGTCGGCGGCGGCCATGTCGCCTGTGACCACGGCGCCGCCCTCGACGCCGACGAGAATAAGATCTCGATGAGCTCCGACTGCTTCTACTGCTGGGAGTTGAGCTAGAATAAGACCTTCGTTGACGGGAAGAATATGAGCGGGAGGAGTAACTTCGGCGTCTCGATGAGCACGAAGAAAAGGATGAAGCGCTGGTTGAGGAACCAGTGTAGGAACGCCTACGTGAGTGCGAACGCCGCCGAGGCACTCCATGCACCTCTTCCGCATTTGCAGTGGCATTTTCACGGGGGGAAACTGGTGAGGGGGCAGCAGCGGGTGCGGTAGACGGATGAGTAAGTGTCCCCTCGAAATCGCTATCACTGGAGTCCCAAGTCGATTTTGCCGTGGTTTTTGTCACTTTTGTCACGGATGCAAGTGCAGACAATGGTGGTGATCGTGTGGAGGTCGGGGGCTTAGTTCTTTCGCTGTGGACCGTGGGGGAAGAAGCCGCATGTGCCCTAGGAAGAGTTGCTGGCGAGGACCGCTTTGGAGGGCAAGAGTCTTCATTATCAGAGCTGTAGGCAGCAACAAGGGTCTCAGATTTTGGCGTTTTTTTGTGCTTTCGTTTGCGATTCTTTTTATCCTCCTCTGTTTTTTTCTCCGATCGTTTTTTGGTGCTTTTTTTTCGGTCCTTGTCTTTCCTTTTCCTCTTGTGAAAACGGTGTGGTTCCTTTGAAGAGGACCTTTCATTGTCCTCGCCAATACGATCTACGCGGGAGAAAGCACAGTATTAAGCCACGTCTAAGTCCTATCTGTAGCAAAACTAAGTTCGAACCTTCATCATCGCCCGACTTGCTTTCATTGTCTGGTTTACAAGTCTGACCAGCGTCTTCATTCCTTGAAGTTGAAGAGCCGGTACGAGAGCGTTTAGCGCTAGTTAAATCGTACTTTGTAGGTCCGTTTTTCCCTGACCGCTCAGAAACCTGAGATTTTTCAAATACAGACGGCGGGTCCTGCAAGGTTGTGCTGCTACGCTTTATCGGAAACGAAAGCGCCGAGTCCTTTGTGGTCCTTGAACTGAAAGTAAAATAAAAGCGCTCATTAAGTTATGTTGACTTGGACAGAAAATTAGAGGGACAACGCAAACGTGCTGTTTTGCAAAAAATAACGGGTGTACAAGTAACACAAGTTGAAGATGGGCATGCCAGCTAATCGAAGCAGTCAGCTTAACCTGCACATACCTTGACCAATGTATAACACTCCATCAGAATCTGTTTAACCAAGTCCACATAAAAACATCAGATGAATTGGTAAATCTACCTATCTTGAAATTGAATTGTGTAACAATGAATTGGATAACTATTTGAGCACAGCTAGACAGTGTTTAAAACTTACTCATAACTGTTAGCATCGGAGGGTGATCCACGAGATGAACAACCCTAAAAATAAAAAAAATTTCCGACCATCACAACGATAATTAATTGTAGAAGTGGTCGTCAATTAACTTTTTAGCCCTTAATGTCAAAATTACCTTAGCAACATTTGGGACCGAAACGGGCACTAAAAAGCAAGGAAATAAGAAATTTTGAACTAAACCCAAATACAAAGGTCGCACTGGAAGGAAAACGAAGATTTTGAATCACAGTATGGCATGGGTTAAACTGAGACAGGAATGCAAGTGGGTGGACGTTCGTGGCAAGGGAGAAGTGAAAAGGAAAACAATTGCGCAGGTACCCATTGACGTGTATCTGAGCTCACATTCTGGAAGAACAGTCATACGCCCAGCGAAACGGTTGTCCGCTTTTACACAACGCGTAAACATACACACGTTCCAACTTTACCTACCAATTCACGGGACAGTTTGAACACAAACGTACACATCTGGCCTGAAGAGGCCAACGATTAACCAGATAACGTCTAACATACGAAAACATGCCGGCGTAAAAAAAGTAGGGGCCAAATATGTACATACGCGCAAGTACATTGGAGGCAGAAGTGAAAATGTAAGTAGCTGGGTGTACGAGTGAATTATCGAAACATACCCCAATGGCAGGAAACATGCTAAAACATCAAGTTGTTCTGGGTATTAATATGCATAAGAAAGCAACAACTTTTACTTTAATTACAATACTAGGTATGTACTTAAAATAAAAACTTTTGAAAACTAGTAATGGCGAAACCCAATTTGACTTAAACAAGCAAAGCAGCCGGCTTACCAAGACTAGAAAAATAAGTTACTTTGTCACTAAATACATAAAATGAATCCATTAGTCAGTGGGAGAATTTCTAGAGGAAGCCTTGAAAAAAGGAGCATTCGTGTATTTGAAGACTGTGCGGATTTAGTTGATGAATTTCGCGTTGTCTTACTCAATGACTATTGTCTTAAATAATGTAATGCATGATTGAAATAAAAGATTAGGTTTTACAATTTCATATAGGGCTACACTGCATTAAGAAGACTGGCTACCATTTAGGTGATTAAATATAAACTAAAATCAATGCCTAACCTTAATGTTCCGAATTACCGATAAGACAATTAATCAAAGGGGTTCATCAAACTAAGACAAGGATCGAGTTCACTGAAACTATTATTTTACACTAGGAGAAAGGGCCTACAGTGAATTATGGATTAAACTAATGAACAAATGCAATACTTTAAAGCATATCGCTAAAACCGGTAAAAACGGAAATCAACAAACGAGATGCTGTGTGCCTGACGACCTTGCAAAGCAAGCGAAACAGTTGAAAGCAAATTGCATCAAATTTGCCTAATTAAGAGTAAATAATATTTGAAAACATTTTTAGGACCTTTTGTGTGAAAAAATAACTGCGCAACCGATTAGCAAGAAGAGGTTAAGAAGATCCGTTAGCTGGCTTCAATGCATTGCGAGATTCAACAATACGTTAAGTCGAATGAGTACGAAGCATCTTGGTAGACGCACTTAACATATAAATTACAGCAAGCCACAAAAAAACACCAATACAATCAGCAGTGCAAAACTACACTGAAGCATGCAAAAGAGCATTCCCAGTGGCTTTACGTGAGGCTTATATCTGAAAGTCACAATAAAGGTATACACTGAGACAGCTGATTCTTAGAACTTTTAATAACAATTCTCGTTTTCTAACCACAACTTACGATTCTCGGCAGAGACGGAACCAGAAGTTCGAGCATCCATGAGAGGAACCAATATGTCCTCCAACAAAAGCAGGCTCAAGATGAGACCAACTGGAAAAAGACTAAAACAAAAAAGTGTATGTGTTCAATGTTTTGGTTTGTTCGAAATTCTAGATCGATATTATAATACGTATTTATTAGAAAAGTATTCCACAAATTTTTTTCTTGCGTGCATATTTTCTGACACTTCGAACAATCCATTACCGTTACAGTCGAAAGAATAAAAGATTTCTCCAAATTTTACTACAATTTTTAACAAATTTGAGAAGAATACAATACGACTGTGCTATCTAGGATAGTTTAGTGAAAGTAAGTATGGAAGCATTGTTAAAAGTAGCAATTTACAGCTGTAAATGTTCATCAAAGACCATGACGAAGACATTTATTTGCAGTGGGATTTAATGTCCGAAATATTTTTAAAACGATCTAAAAGTCTTACCTATGAAAATTTATATGCTATATTTTTATTTAAATACTTTTTTTCTGTACTTAACTTCACGAAATACAATTTTTTATGAACCATCTGGCTCAACAATCAATGTTAAAATCGGTCATCTACTCCGATCCTGGCATTCAATATGGACCCCAGCCACCTCAGTGTGAGTCTCATTTGAGTCCTGTAATTAGCTAGTTTATCAAAGAAATCATGACATGATGGACTGTAACGAGTATGTAATTAATTTTTTTAGCTAGAATATTAAATATAGAAGTAAATTGTCAGTGTTTGACTGCTAACCATTAGCCTCAGCTATTTAAACGCACAAAGAGAATTGTTTAAGCTCATCGTAATCAGGTAGATCTGAGGCTCTCTACGTTGCTACCATATAATACCCGAATCCTAGCATAAAGATAGTTGGTGACTAACCACAAACCTGAACGAAACATCAGGCGCCGTCCATCCAAGTGCACTACGCTCAATATATTCTGCTCCTCATTTGTGTCTTTCTCTAGTTGGCTACCCATCTTCCTCACATGTCATTGGAACGCATAGACAGAAGATTAGCTGAGCCCAGAGTAGATCAATAGGTCTACGCCATTATACGTTGTTATTGAAGAATACCCGAGCCGTAGTTTAAAAATGACTTGTATAACAGAACAGGCTTTATTGACCAATCACAAGCCAGAACCACGCGTCCAGCGCTATCCATCCAAGTCCTCCTCGCATCCTATGCCACTCTTTATATACCACATCTTAAGCGTGTTAGTCAATGGCTGGCTCCCTACTTTACTTGCATGCCATTGGAACCCAGCGAGACAGAAAATTAGCTAAGGACAGCGTGGTTTAATATGTCTGCACATTTAATTATCGCTACTGAAGAATACTCGAGCCTCAGTAGAAAAAGTACAGGTAAAACAGAACAGCATTTATTGACCGAAAACAAGCCAGAGCCACAATACAGGCGCCTTCCATCCGAGTCCGCCACGCTGGCCACGCCGCTCATTATATAATGCTCCTCAATTGTGTCCTTCTCTGGTTGGCTGCTTACTTTCCTCGCATGTCATTGGAATGCAAAGGGGAACAGAATTGGCTGAGACCGGAGTAGTCCAATATCTCTGCGCCCTCAGATGTCGCCACGTTACATTGCAGAATACACAAGCCCTAGTTTGAAGAAGACTGGTGCAATAGAAAAGGTTATATTGACTAATCACAAGCCAGAATCTCTCGTCAGGTGCCATTCATCTGAGTTCACCACAATGGCCACGACGCTCATTATATACCGCATCTCATCCATGTCCTTCTCTGGTTGGCTGCTTTCCTTTCCCGCATGCCATTCGATCGCAGAGAGACACGGGATTGGCTGAGGCCAGGTGGTCCAACATGTCTGTGCCCTAATCCGACGCCACACTGCCTCCCCCTTAGGAGTGAAGCTGTCCTCAGCTTCTGGCTTGGTTCCTTGCACTGTTGTTGATATCCATTGTTGATAAAATATCCAGTTCGACACTCCCTGCACCCCACATCTGGCAGGATAGTGGCCCATGCGAATAGTTGACGAGGGACTTTGCTCTTGTAGACTTGCAGGAAGGACTCATCATCCATTGAAGGTCCTTCGCAGATGCAGTCCAGCTGGCTTTCACTGTCCAAGTCGTCGACGCTGAGTTGCCAATGCCTCTTCAGACGCAGTATTCCTAATCCCGGGCAATGTCTATGGATCCATTTTTTTTGGACATCGGATGAACGCCTTCACAAATTCAGCTGGCATTTAAGGGTCTTTGCCTGTGTTGACCACTGAAGAAAAAGGGCTGGGGTTCGATTTGCGTTATTCGAACGCATCCCAT